GATGGAGTGAGCTCCTGTTGCTCTGTCCCAGCTCCTGACAAACTAGCAGTTTAAAAGCACGCCAGTGCAAGTAGATAAATAGGTACCACTGTGGCGGGAAGGTAAACAGTGTTTCCGTGCGCTCTGGCTTCCGTCATAGTGTTCCATTGTGCCAATAGCAGTTTAGTCATGCTGGCTGCATGACCTGGAAAGCTGTCTGTGGACAAACGCCAGCTCCTTTGGCCTGAAAGTGAGATGAGCGCCGAAACTCCATTAGTCACCTTTGACTGGGCTTAACGGTCCAGGGGTCCTTGACCTTTACAGGTTAAGTGCTTGATTTCTCTTGCCTTCTTTACATTATCCTGGTATAAGCACCCCCCCAAAAAAAGACTCCAAACTTTTTTGCTTTTTTTATAACTGGTGGTAAAACTTTATTATTCAAGTTTAGATGTAACAGACATCTTTTTGCTGCCTGAAGAATTGTTTTGCATAAGAAATACACCAGGAACATGATTGTGAGTAGAAATGAACATGCATTATGAAAACTTGGGAATGGAAAGCACAAATAGAGAAAACAAAACTGAATACCCCTTGTATCGTAACAGACAGAATAGCCATGAGCATCCTAGAGTCAATCCAGAGCTATGCATTTAAAGGGTTCTTTTGGGAACATCACATCATTATTTAGCTGTAATTCCTGCATTGCTGTGAGGGGGACTAGATGATCCTTGATTCTACAATTCTGTAGGCAAGACTTCCATTTTTTGCTCATCCTTATATGAAAATGGTATTTTGAGATGCTGTATTTTATTCCCTCTCTGGGAAAGGAGGAAAAACATGTCTGGAAAAAAGTACAGAGGCAGCCCTAGAATGAAATAAAATGAAACAGTAACCAATGGTGATGAATTTTAGGTGCACTTAAGGGTTGAAGACTGAGGGAGAATTAACCCCAAAGTCACAATCTAATGGAAGGTCTGCTGCTTCCCTGTTGGAAAAAAAAGTTAAGTACGTACTGTTCTTGCACAACTCCCAGTCTCCCACTCATTTCAATAAGGCCTGGGCAGTAGAGCACCCCGGTGAATTGTGTTTCATCTCAGCTAATGGTAAAGACAAGCGATCACTTGGATTTTCTGCCTGAAGCACCACAATGTCTTGAGCTACAGAAACTGAAAAGGAACCTTGCACTACAAGAATACAGAACTGGATACATCCAGGTATTTTAGGAAGAACCTATGGGGAATGTGATGAGATCACACAGGTTAGCTCTGTCCTTGTGGTGACACCCTCGCCGCCTCCCTGTTTAGCCCTTGTGGGAAGAAGTTCTACACTTGGACATCCACAGAGCTCCTTTGCACGTTGGCCAAACACAGACTGTAGGGTTACAGCTAGTAGATGTGCTGTGAGGAGGACTAACCCCACTGAATTCTTTCAACAGTTGGGGAGGTTGACTGAGCCCTCCTAGTACCCTATAGCAGAGAAGAATCATGGTAGCAGTGATTTGGGTCTGGACCTTCTCAGAATTGTGGCAGAAGTGGTGCATGTTTGAATGTTCCCAATCATTTAGTGGGGGCAGGAAGCATCTCAGAGAGTAAGGCTGAACTAAAATCCATTTTCCTGAACTGCTCATTTTCTGCATATCACAAGCTTTTTTGTTTTGTTTAACATGATGGAACATTCAAACTGTAGCCCTATGTGTGTCTTCTGACATCCTGGGAAGGGCGAGTGTGCCAAGATATGTTCTTAAGGCTGCAGACCTATGCACATTTACCTGGAAGTAGGTCTCATTGAATTCAATCAGGTTAACTTCTGAGTAGACAGGTATGACACCGAGAGGGTGTACTTATCCAGAAGCAAGCCCCATTGAACTGAATGAGATTCACAGGATCATGGTGGAAGAGTTGTAAACTGAAGTAGGGAAGATCGTATTATGTGAGGTCAATGAAGATGAAAGTATCAGTGGCACTTCCATCCACACGTTTTTCTAAAGAAATAATTTTGAGAACATCTCACTATGTCAAGCCACAAGCAACTTGTCAATCTAAACAGGCTGAGATGATCTGCTTAAAAGTTTAAGGTGTTTTTTATGGTGCTTTTTTTATACTTAGGTTAAAATTTACAGTAAAGCCCCAAAGAAAGGTATATTTCTTTGTTTTAGATCAGCCTTTGCCAACCTGGCTGGGGATGATGTGAGCTGCACTTCAAAACTCCAAAGGCACCATGTTGGTGAAGGCTGTTTTAGAAGCTAAGCTGCACAGCAATAATATTTCTCCAAGTAAAACTCCAGTGGTTTAGACCTGGGGTCGGCAATATAAAGCCCTCAGACCACACCTGCCTTCTGGAATAGCTCAGGCCTACAAATGGCAATGAGTGGGGCCTAACCTAACAGGGCAGGTGGTATCAGGTAGCCCGATACATGGACAGTTATTTAATCATATTAAATAGTAATGCAATGCATGCTAATTTCGCAACATTTTTTTAAAAAAAGGTGTAGTGCTTGTCAATAATGTCAGCACCTTTGGTTATGACACTGGGAGGTGTAAGTTACACTAGGGAGTAACCCGTGTTCAAAACTCCCATTGTTCTAGGCACATTTTGCAACAGGGAATTGCATTAGTGCAAGCAGTTTCTGAGCTGTGGGCTCAGTACACAGTACTGGACCTAAGATTTCAGGTTAAAATGGCAGAGTGGAAGGAAAGGAGGACCTTTTTGTGCCTCCCCACTTCCAGCTACTCTCTGAAGACTGGAGAATAGACTCTCTTAAGAATATTAAGTGGTGGGCAGGGGAAGGACTAGACCATGCGAAAAATGAGCATAATATTTTAACCGCAAGCTTTGTATTCTTGCTATAAAAAAGTGTTCCTAGACATTCTGTTGTTGCACCCATAACCACAACCCATTTAGCTCCTAGCTTTCATATCTCAGTTCCTAACTGGGTTGAATTTTGCCTGTATCCTCTTCCCTATAGCTCCACAAGGAAAAGGAGCAAGGATTTTTTAAAAGTTGAACTTTCACGGAGGGGGGCATATCCCACCAACTGTGCTGCAAAGCACACTGGAGGGAAAGGAGGGTAGGATGCAGATTAAAGATGAGCCCTAATACACAGAACTCCATAGAGTTCATTTCCTACGAAGCATTCTCCTGGAAAGGGATATCTTCCAGCAGTTGAGAAACTTTAAAAACCAAAACAATGCTGATATTAAAAACCAAACCTGCTGATATTAACTAGTTAAATCTCAGCGCGGTTAATTTTTGGCATTTGTCCTGAAAATCTGACACAACAATGGCTGTTTTTAATGGAACACTGTGTCACTAGAAAATGGATTATCTCTTTCAGCTCCTGCCATTGACCTAAGCGTTGTTGGAGGACAACTGCTTTAAAAGCGCTGAAGCAGGGCTGATCGTATTACATGAGGTTGATGAAAATAAAGTGGCATTGGCACTCCCACCTACTACAACTTCCCAGTATTCCACAAAGATTCATTTTCATGATTCCTTTCTAGGGATATGGATTAACAGGCTCCCTTAACCAAGAGGATGAGCAAGCAGTAGCTCAACGCAGCCTTGAGCTAAGAGCAAATCCCCTTCTTGGTTAGGCCTGCAGAACTTGTGACCTGCCAAGCCAAATGCAGCCTACTCTCCATGTACCCCGAGGGATTGCCATACGAGACTGCGGGGCTTCTTTGGGCTTGTCGAGCAACAGGCTTGGGAGGAATTATTCAATAACAAGAAAGAAATGCAGCTTCTGTAACACTGCCAAGGTCAGCAAGACCTGTGGCAGTCAGGTATGGGAGTGTTTCTCATGCAGGGTGACAGTTCCCATATTTTGCTTTCAATATCAGTGTTGGGTGCATACCGATGAACAAACAGTAACTGACCACGAGTTGCATGGTAAGCTGATCCAGCTGGTGGTTTAAATAGTTGCCTCTATTATCCTGTCAAATTAGCCAAGTAATTTTTATCCGTTGTCTTCGTAAAGCTTTAAAAGGAGAAGTGATAAAACGCCTCTCTGGACTTGGCAGAAGACTACAGATGACCAAGTTGCAACATGGTTACATTACACACCGTGGATAAGTTACCACCTGGCAAACGGTCATCTGTTTTCACCCCTGAAAACATGTTCTCCTCTGCCCAAACCACGCTTGATTCCAGCATGGATCCCTACGCCTTTCAGGAGGGTCCTGTGTGGTGTGATCCTGTGCAATAATAAAGTTATGTTGTGTTCATTGAGACTTTTACTCCCTGGTAGGTGTGTTTAGGAATGCAGCCATAGTTACTGGTTTCAGAAGACTTGGAAGCGGAGACACGATTTAGCTAAAATTGGGGGTGGCTTGCGGATTTCATTAAGGGCCACTCCAAATCTGAGCCCTCTACCAAAAGAGCCACTAGTCAGACATGGAGCCTAACCTCAATGTCCTCTCTCCCTTTCCCAGGTTTATTTTAAATGCTCATTTTCTAGATCAGAGGATGATGCGTCTGACTCTTATTAAAAGTTAGTTTGAATTACATGAACGTTTGTGATAGGCAGCATGTAAGTGGGATCAGAAGATGGCCCTTTAACATACCTTTCTGAACTGGGGTAATCTAGCCTTGATGGGGTCATAGGAAGCTGCCTTATACCGAGTCAGACGATTGGTCCATCTAGCCCAGTACTGTTTACTCACTGATAAGCAATGGCTCTCCAAGGATTCAGACTGGGATATCTCTCCCAGCCCTGCCAGGAGATGCCCAGGATTGCACCTGGGGGAGAGGAGGCTTCCCGAATGCAAAGCAGATGGTGCTCTACCACCGAGCTACAGCCCTTCCCCATCCCCTAGAAACAATTTCCTAGAACATTTGAGAAAACAAAACAGGGGGAGGGACAGGCAACTGGATATAAGACAAGACGTTTTAAAACTTCATTCGCAGCAACATTCAGGAACCAGTTGTACTCCATAACCTCGAGAGACTAAAGAGCCTGCAATGCGAAATAAAGAAGTAAAGCCCCAATGCAACAACAACAACAAAACACACAAAAAAACCCAAACAATGAAGCGGCTGTGTAATATGGTAAAAACGGGAGTGCAATGCGACTACAGAATGCAATAAAAACCTTCAGTGCCAAGGAGTCGTATGGCACCTCTCGACATAATCTCTGAAATGTTTCATCTGAAACATAGACAAAGCAATAAAAAGAGGATATATGTTTATCATTTTAAGCATAACAATGTGAGTTAAGAGCTTAAGAATACAAAAAAGTACTTGGAATGAATCGTGCTACCCTTTCGCTTCCTCCTAAGTAGGCGTAAAAATATTCTCGTATTTCCTTCTTGCCATTTTCTTCTTCTTTTTTCATCTTCTTCTCCCCCAGCAAATCATTAATATCAACAAAGTCCATTCATTTCATGTTACTGTTTACAATTTTAATGCACACACACACGCACAAATAAAAGAGACCTACTGCAATAGAAATTTGCTTCATTACCTTGTTTGCTACATTTGCAAATGTAAACAGAGCGAGGCTGAGCCAGCGCTGAATCTTATGCATGATGGAATATCTTTGTTGCATACGTACACTGTAGAAAATAATTATTCAATATGTCAGGCACCATTATTTGAAATGTAATACATTAATATTTACTAGAAAAATAAGTTTTTTCCCCTATTTGTTCTCCCAACTTCTTAAATGAAATAAGTTAATCTGACAGTGCATCCAGTAGCTTGTAATATCTCTTTGTATATCCCTTCGTAAAAACAACAATCAAAACTACTGCTGGGCCGATATCGTGCAAATGAATTGAAGTCTGTCCTTTGCAGATCCTTGTAGCATCTATGGAGGCTTGGCTAAAAGCACCTTGAACCAATGATTGAATATTGAGTTATTTAGACCTATTTCCCTGAGCAGTTACGCTGAGGAGCTTTCCCTTCATGGGCTAGTTTTACAAAACCTCCCCTCTCTTTTTCTTTTTAAAGTATCAAAAACAAAAACAGCCATGAAGGCAGACACGAGCAAAAGCTGGCATTAAGTCTAGTGAAGAGATTGACCGCTACATATAAATAACCAAAGGGCTTTGGGGAAAGTGAGTCATACACTCAACCCTGAAGCGAAATTTAGAAAGAATAGCTAATGCAAAACATTAATACTATGCACATCAAATTGGTAAAGAAGCTTCCATAAAAGAGATAAGTCGCCAGGCAGAGCACTTTTCTACAGAATGTTACTCCAAAACCTGTATTTTGGCCAAAGCACGTTACTCAGAAACCCCTGAGATGTAGTTTGCAACCCTGGGGCCTGTACTGGGCTGGAAATTAATGAACACCAGCACAATATCTATTTTAAAGGGCCTTCTCGCATCTTTCAGACTGGAAAGGAGAAGGTCTGGACTACAAATATATAGGTTTTCTTTTTCTTTTTCCCCGACACCAGCGCCATTTAACTTTAACCTTTCCTGAGATTCTTTTTCATTTTAAAAAAAGTTTTCAGATTGCAAGGGAAGGAGCATTACACTGAGGCTTTCATGATTTTGAATGCTCCTGATGATTGTTCCTGGGTCTGCAGGTACCTATTCGATCTACTATTGCACTAGACCTTGATAGATTGGGGAGTACTGTTGTAGACTGCAAGGCGATAGCCATCAAAATAGTAGCTACCGGCTGGTTTTGCGTGAGTGATGTCTGGAGAAAAATACTACCTCCAGATTGCAGAAATGGCGGATGCTGTCGGATGCTCTAATAAGGCCAAAGTGAACCCAAATGAGGAAAAAAAAAATACTACTAGATTTCTGGACATCAGTTTATTTAACAAGTCCATTTTGCTATACAGTGTGCATATGTTACTGTACACCTGCATTATACATCTTTGCATTCTAGCCAGCTACAAGAACGAAAAGCATTAGTTGTCTGATTAGGGTTTCCCCCCCCTGAAGAGACTTGCCCTGATATAGTGTCTTCTGTATAGTTTTGGTGGACGGGTCCCAAGTAAATATCCCTTAACCCCCAATTCCAGCTGCCATCCATTTTGCTTTTCCTTCTTGGTAACTTTTTTTTTTTGTCTAGAGGAAGGAAAAGGAGGGAAGAGAAAAGAACGAAGGATTGTATACTGGATAAGGCATGCTTGCTATATGAAGTGCTTAATAAGACATTACAAGCTATTGAATTCCCATCAAGGAAACCTATTTCTGTTTAATTGTGCTAAGTGCTAAGGTTTATTTTATTTTATTTATCTTTACTCTTTAGATTTGCCATTCGTTTCAGCTTGTGCATTGTTCCTGTGTAGGCCCCTCTGGATGTGTGTTGTGAAGTCATACTTGTCCGTGCAAAAATATTGGCATATGCTGCACTGAAAAGGTCCACTGTCACCATGGCAACTCATATGCAAGGCATACATCACTTCATCCAGAAAGACAATGCCACAGTGCACACACTTGGTTGACAGCTCATCTTGAGTACTTCGGTCAACTTTCTCTGTTTTGACTACATTCAAGGGACCTTCATTTTTTACATTTGGCGGTGCCTTCGCTTTCTCCTTGGAGGCACCATTTGCAGTTGGCCCAGGTCTGGAATGTTTTATCGCCAAATCTAGAGGAATGTCATTATCAGATCCGACAGCTGAAAAATGAGGAGGCAGATTAAAGGTGGGATAAGGCACATAGTTTTGGCAAGGATTTGGTAGGCCAGGCACATGACTCAAGTAGTGTGGATTCCCGGGAACGGACAGCTTATATTTACTCCAGAATCTCAGCCAATCAGCTTCACTTTGAAAGTCATTGTGTACAAATGGAAGCCCAAAGAGTGGGTACTGGTACTTTTCAATGGGGCTTCCGGGTGGCGAATAGTTCGGATGCTTAGCAGGTCTCATGTATTTCTCTATTGGGCTGCCTCTCTCTGAGCTTCCTTTTCCTTCTGATATAGAGGAACTATTGCCTGGGTCTCCGGTACTTTCCTGAGGACTTTTTATCTGAATGTGCAAAGGTTGCATCCTTTTGTGAATATCCAGAGTTTGGCTGACCAATATTGACTGCGGAGCAGAATGGCTTTTAGTCAATGAGCCCTGGGCTTCATATTTACTCAGGCTGGGAAGCTGGATTTCTCTCTGGTGACCTTCTGTTATATGATCCTCTGACCTCCTATCTAACGGGCTGCCGTTGACTTGTTCCTCACTGTTCCCTCTCTGCTGTTTGTTTAGCTGCTCAGCCTGTAGTGCCTCCGGGTTAAGGCGCTTTCTCGTTCGTCTCCTAATGATCTGCTCACCGTTGTTCTGCTTAATGATGTTTAAAGGCCTGGGAGTCTGCATATAAAACACAATAACATCATAAATAAACGAGCATTGCTAAGCAAAGCTTTGCAGAACTGCTTGTGCAAATCCCCAGTTATAGTTGCTGAACCACATCAAGCCATTGCAGGGAAACAGCTTAAAGAAATGGCTTCCTCAAATCAGGAAGACAGGAGGTCAAAGCAAGCACTGGAAACCGACTCCTTAATTTTATATAATTAAAAATGTGTCAACGCCCCCCTTTCAATGGTTTAGCTGGTATCAAAGTGCTTTAGCCAGTATCAAATCTCTCCACCCTAACAACTTTTTATGTTACTTTCAAGAGTGCCCTGAGTGCAGAAAATTCCTAATAATGACCATATTGACTGAGGATATTCTCAACTACAAGATCTTTAATCTGATCTTGGTTTGATCCCCCAGTTGGTAAGAAACCAAGACAGATTTGTTGAAGCCAAATATGTGAGACAGAGAGGAAGGGAAGGAGGCACACAACTTGTTGCTGGACTGAAAAACCAGGGTTTATTGGACCAGGATAATTTCCTCTGCCTCCCTCCTTATTTTCCCTTCTCACCTTAAGTTACTTGGCTATCATGACCCCTTGTTGAAGATCAATGTTTTAAGTGACTATGATTGTCACTCATGAATTATGCATATCGGCATTTTTAAACCAACATTAGGCTAGACAGCACGCGAAACAAGCCAACTTCCTTACCAGCACCTTTCCAGAGGTGTCTGCTTGCTTCACATGGCTCCTTCACCCCACAACTTTCTAGCCTCTTTTTTGAAGTCAAACAAGTTGTGTCGGTGATTGCCTCTCAAGCTTTATTCTATTAAAAATCTAATTTTGAATATTCACTATGATTTAGGTGTTTAATAAGAAGTGAAAACTTTTATTTCATAAGAAATTAACCAGTAGTGGTTGAATTTCCCACTCTATGATTCGGTTCTTGGAAGTGAAAGCTCCTCAGTAAGCAAAGAGGAACTGTGGGGCAGGAAATAACATGATTATGATATAAGGTCCCAAAGTTCAGGCAAGTAAGTTGAACACTCAATTCCCTTTTACTGGGATAGTTTAAAAATGCTTTACATATATCTATTGTTACATTAAATAACATCTCTGCATGAATATTTCTGCCTTTTTAAACTTGTAATCTTTGATGTACTCTAGTGTAGCACATGCCAGAATGGCGAGTATGGATTCTCCTTTTGCTTGCTCATCACTCCTGTTCACTGTAAAACACACATATGTGGTGCCAGGATCGGAAACTGCTTGGTAAACCTATATATATATATATATATAATATATTCAGTTACGTCATGGAAGAAAGGGAAGATACGAACATACAAACATACAGACATACTCAACTACTCACTGGTTCCCACGCTTTCTAGTACCACTGAGAAATGGGACTTAGGACTGTGTATATTATGGAGATGGATTGGATGAGGGGAATAAATCCACTGTGGAAGTACATGCCAGATACACCACTGATCTCAATTTCTGTCAATTGCTGCTTTTATTTTTAATGCCACTTCGGTTCTAAAGGGCTTCTGTTGTGTTCTATGAGACACAGTAGAGAGGCAATTTGGTAGCAAAAGCTGACCATCACTTTGAACACTGGGGCAATGAGAAGCCCATGCCCAAATACTTTTCACTACCTAAAGAGGCAGTTGTTATAATGGGGTGGGGGAGAGAATATTAGGGTGTGAATTAATTTGCAAGCTATTTCTGAAAGTGAGATCTATCCATATTTGCTACAGTTTATATACTAATTTACTTCCAGTTCAAACTGTGTTACTGAGGAGTCCGTAATTTCCTGTGTTTATATAGCTTTGTAAAAATGGGAGGGGAAAAAAAACCAACCCTCTAAATATCTATATTTATTTCAGTGTGTTTCTGTTTGTCACAGCCTAGCAGGGTTAATTATATCTATGGGCTTTGATTGGGCAGTTAAATTGAACTCATTAATGTCAGTGTACATCAAATAACATCTCACTACGATGCTCCAATACTGCTACTAAAGATGGTGTTATCTTAGTTCTGTGCTAATGAAATAAAGGTTTTACAACTTATAACCAATTAGCAATGCTGCCAGCATACATTTATTAGGATTACTTTGCATGTTTTATGATACCTTTTAATTTAAAATATCTAAAATTGTAGCTATAATGTATTTACTTTCTGTGTGTGTGTGTGTGTGTGTGTGTACACATTACACACACACGCGCGCACACACACACGCAAACACACACAATCTGACAAAACTAACAATGTCTTCCATCACTTCTAAGAAAGGGGGGATCAAAAGATGCAAAAGAGGAAGTACAGCAATATCCCAAGACAAGATATAAACAGTGGATCAAAAATTAAATAGAATTAAAAAAAGGCGCCAGATGAAATTATATTTAGATTGAATTTGCCATCTGTGTGAATATGTTGTTAAGTAAACTACAACAAACTATTTCACACTAAAAGTCAGGATTAAAACTCTCATAAAATTGCATGAACTCTCATACAATTGGGTGAAGTCAACATTGCATTCTTCCAGTTGTCCTCCCTGTGAAAACACTGCAGCTTGGAATAACCCGCTTGCCCCCCTATCCCCTGTGCTGTTCTGGGGTTCTCCCCCATAAGCCAATTTCAGCAGATACAGGGGAATGTGGGGGGAAGTCCTATTGTGCATGCAGAAGTCCTTACACAGCACTTCCACTGCTGGGGCTGGTTAGGTGAATGTCACCCAATAATTTTATTTATTTGTTCAAGGAATGCTCTTATATGGGTCATTGAAATCTGGCTAATATCTGGTATGGTCAATGGCCTGCTTTGGACGTACATAAACTGGCTTGTTAAGCAAATATATGCATGAGCCCTGTTCCCTTCTAGGCACAACACAGTTCAATGGGTTGATTAATCATAGCTTTCTCTTATGTCTATTTTCCTTTATTTTGTAATATTTATATGCCGCTTGATGGTAAGAAGAAAACCTCAAAGTGGTTCAAAATGTGTTACCAGAACTGGAACAAGCCAAGGTCTTAAACCACATTTCTGATTGGGCTTAAGATCGTGGCTTGTTGAGTTTCTGGTAACTATGGTTTACCAGTTCAGATGTAATGGGAAACTAGGGTTAATTAAGCCAGGAAGTCCTGCAGTGAATCAAAAGGGAAGGGTGGAGCAGGTTGGCATAAACTAAGCTATGTTCATTGGAACAGGACAGTATGTCCCTTGACCATACGTTGTTGGGAACAAAAATATTGCCCTGAAGCTGAGTTATTAGGCTGGAGCTAGATGTTAACAAAGGGACATCTTTCTGCTTTCTATCCATCAGAGCATCCAGCAGTTCAATGCTGTTTACAATGATTGGCAGCTGCTTTCCGACAGGGGTATCTTCCCACTCTACCTGGAGATACCTGGGACAGAAACTGAGTCCTTCTTCCTTCATCAGCTCTGCCACTGAGCTACAAGCTTTCCCCTTTGTGATCAATATGAGGGGATTTTGACAAGTTCTGTTGCAACATATTTCTGTGAACTTCTTGGGTGGGAGGAGGAAACACCCCCACTTTTATTCTTTATTTTGTATCAAAATAATTAATGCCTCATTGGTAATCTCCAGCATAGACGCCTCTCCGTGGTGTATCAGCATGTTCCATAATGAATCACATCTGATCCCAGAGTGGCCGCGTTGGGAAGAAGAAGAAGAAAAAAGGGGGGGGTGGGAATGCAGTTAGGAAATTAACCGCAGCTGCCCTACTTCAGCCTAGCTGCCGAAAACCTTTCCTGCATAAAACGAGTAAGTTGTTCCTACCGAGTGAAGCTTCTGGTAGAGACCACACGCGTTGCATACATATCCTCCATTTGCATTCTTTCGCCAGAGAGAGGTCTTTGTGGTCAGGCAGTTGGCACAGAAAACTCCTGAGCCTCTACGTCTCTGAAACGGGGAAAAAAAAGGGGGGGGGACACAAGGTCGAAGGTTAAGTCACGTGATCTGCGGAGTTAGGAGAAATCAACACAGGAGTTTTGTCTCTAGGCTGGCAACAATTGATAGCATAAAAGCCACACTGCCCATAATGAGGTCAGGTTCAATTGCGCTTAATAGGGACCGCTGATTTTCATTACAATTTACCCTACAGTGATGGATGAGGTGTGCGAAATACCACCACTTCCCTCTCCACCCCCCAACCCGGTAACAGCTTTAACTTTTTGAACTTTAGTGTCTGTGCCCTTCTAATGACTGGATTCTGAACTCGGAATTTCAATATTCTATTTTGACACAAAATGATCTCTGCTGATCTTGCTAGCTGCTTTTTGCAAGGATTTCACTGTTTTAATTATAAGTATTAACTACAAATAGTGTGTGTGCGTGTGTGCGCGCGTGCACGTGGTGTGTGATTCCAGTTCGTTTGTCTCATTCCAGTTCTTGTAAAAGAGCCTATACGTTATTAACAATATACACAATACTGAATGTAATTCCCACATAGGTTAACATAAAACTAAAATCCACTTATGCTACTTTCTATTTCCCACAGCTGACTGAGACCACGGCCTAATTTCATCAGTGAAAAATATGGCATTGTTAATGATACCACTTCTGAACTTCATATGAAACTAGGCAATACCGCCTTATCAGTGGAGAGATTTTTTTACTTTCGTTTTTAATTTAGTAAAGGCAAAACTTTTCCAAATGCAAAATGAACATTAACTGGACTGTTGACTGAGCTCTACAGCTTTACTAATAGCCCATTCAACATTTACTAATATTCCATCTTGTTCAGCATCGGGCAGCGCTGACCAGAGAAGCTTGTTAAATTCCTTCGGTGACATAATGATATCATTAAACTTTTCATTTCAATAAGAACACCACAAGGGAAAAAAAAACCCAGGCTGTGTTTGTGGGCACAACTGCTAACAACAATGACATGGCTGTCTTGTTCTGCCTCCCTGCCCCCCATGCAAAAAAAAAAAATCATTTCAACATTGGTTTCTTTCTTTTTTTACAAACTTTTATTAAATGTTCTCTGCCCTGCACAAGTGTGGAGGGAAAACAGTTTCACTAAAAGATTAAACTGATTTTGTTCTAAATTAAAAAATTACCAGTCCTGTAAATCAAAATTTCAAGGTTTCATCAAATTTAAGTAATTTATTTAACTTTACGCCATACTGTAGGGAAGGGGGCTATCAGTGCCAAGAAAATACAATGGTTATAATTGTACTCTGATACATTTCAAATGGAAAGCTTTTTGCAGACATAATTTTGGCTTGGAGTATGGAACACTTTCTTGGCATGGAAAGGGCATTTGATTCATCGGGTGTTTCACAATGTATCACTAAAAAGACCTGGTGATCAGCCAGTTCCCTATAGGGTAATTTTTCCATCCAGATGCAAGCGCTATCAGAGGCCCTCGTCAGCTAAACTAATTATGATCTTGCATTTGCTGATGCCTGCTCACTCTAACGTTCGACATCCCCCATTAATCACCAATACGAGGAAAATGAATGAAACACAGGGAAACGAGGGCAGGTAACCTACACGGCCATAAAAATCTAAAATGAGAGCAATAATTTAACAAGACTGGGGAAATGTTTTTCGGTGAGCACCAAAGTCAGCCTAACAATTGCCCTTTTAAACCAAGAACACAATTTCATTAGTCTAGCAGGTTGTCTTGCTACAAGTCGAGGTAATAAAATCAAAATGCTAACAGAATGATCTCCTGGCCCCACCCTCCAACCAAAAACCACTAAATCATAATCATAATTACACCTCATTGTCTCACCTATGTCTCAGTTACAATAGGACCACTCCATGTCCAATTATTTCATAATGTACTATGCATTTATAAACATGTGCATTTATAAACCAGTTAATATTGAAAAATCTTTAAGCCGTGTCTGGGAAAACTTTGCTCCTCCAGTTGCCACTGGAAAACAACTCCAGTCATCCCTGGCCATCGGCCATGGCTGGGTGGGTGTGATGGGGACTGCAGTCCAATCATATTTGGAGGACCAGAGGTTCCTCGGCTCGGCTCTAAGCAGTGTACAATATAGAAAATGTGTGTGTGTGTGTGTGTGTGTGTGTGTGTGTATCCATCCTTTAAAACCAACCTTAAAAAATAAACACCAATAGAACAGCAATATAAAGACTTTAAAGCCCTAAATGGCCTTGGCCCGGTATACCTGAAGGAGCGTCTCCACCCCCATCATTCAGCCCGGACACTGAGATCCAGTGCCGAGGGCCTTCTGGCGGTTCCTTCACTGTGAGAAGTGAGGTTACAGGGAACCAGGCAGAGGGCCCGCACTGTGGAACGCCCTCCCATCAGATGTCAAAGAGATAAACAACTACATGACATTTATAAGACATCTGAAGGCAGCCCTGTTTAGAGAAGTTTTTAATGCGTGATATTTTAATGTATTTTTAATCTTTGTTGGACACCACCCAGAGTGGCTGGGGAAACCCAGCCACATGGGTGGGGTACAAATAATAAGTTGTTGTTGTTGTTGTTGTTGTTGTTAACAGAAAATATAAGAAAAACAAATAAAACAGGAATTCAGGGGATTTAAACACATAAAACAACATCTCATCTCACGGGTCAGGGGAACCCTGGGCAAAGAAATAAGTCTTTGCAAGGCATCTGGAGGGGGAAGGGCAGTCCATAAAAAGGGGGAAAGGGGCAGAAAATGCCTGTTTTGGGGTTATTCCTCTGTCGGATGTGGTGCCTTAGTAGAATTTACCCAGGTGATCTAAGTGATTTTACAGGTCAATACAGGGGCAGGTGGCCTTTTGGGGACTATGCATAGAATGCCTATTATTTATATGCCTAAAATGATTCATTATCAATTAACTATTAGTTTATCTATTAAGTATCTATATATGCATAGAAGGTTAATTACCTATCTACACCACTGAAACCCTGGGGAAACCTAAAAACAAAAAAAACCGCCATAAAATAAATGATGTGATTATTATTTGTAGAACACTTTAAGGCGAAGGCATTATTTGGAACGAATGATTTGTTAAGGCAGTTTACTGATCGGGAATGACTGTTTACAATTTCTGTGTTGTATATTATGCAAAAATATGGAGTGAAAAATTATCTGTGCAACTGGCACTCCATGCAATTCAATGGTGGTTGAATTTGCTTGACCCTAAGTGTAAATAGAGTAATAGAATCATGGAACTGTAGATTTGGCAGGAACCATGAGGGTCATCTAGTCTAAGCTGCTGCAATACAGGAATCTTTTGCCCAACACAGGGCTCGAACCCACAACCCTGAGATTAACAGTCTTTAAAATGAAGATTCTTCCTTGCTACTGAGTGCTTGTCAGTGTGACCAAAATTTAAAGGAGAAACCACAATTACATGAGACACATAGTTATTGCATCAAATATATGCCAAGACGCAACTAAATTCAAGCTAAACTGTGTAGCAATGAACTAGCCTGCCATAGCGACTGGGATTAATGAAGACATGCCAGATAAGGCCAGAGGAGAGGTTAAATTCAACTTCTCTGCTCCTAATCAATAAAGTGATGTTTATTTGGATTTAAGTTAATGGTTCTGTGCCTTCTTTTATATCTTTGGGCCATCAGCCATTCTGAAAAGCAACACAGAGCTCACAAGTGCTGTAACTTGCACCCAAAATCACAACGGTATAAAATTACACAGGCTGTAGCTATTAGAAAGTAATCTTACTTTATTACCTGATAGATTGTGTGGGGGGAAATGTGGACATGGAAATTGTTGGAGAGTTGTTGTATTTTCTGTGACAAGACTGGAAATAATTTCAAAAAGGGGGGAAAATCTGGAGGTGCATCCAGCTCTTACTTTGAGATTGGATTGTTTTAGAACTGATTAAGTTAACCAAGTGGAAAGGATGTAAAATCTCTAACAGGATAAGTAGAAGCTATTTATTACACTTTGGAAAGCAAGGTAATTCAGGAAATGTATTGTCTGGAACCAGTATGACCCATCTAACCTATTTCTTCCTGTGTTAAATGGCTGTTATTTTATATAAAATCAATAAAAATATATTTTAAAAAACACTTCCTAGTTTCTGTGTAAACAGTATAATGTTCTTCATAACCTGGATGATGAACAGATTGGAGCTTCTTCATCTTCTTCAATTTAGATACTACTTGATTCCCCAAAAAAGGGTTTACTAGTGTCACTGAAGTCTGTAATTTCCTCGTTGAGAATACAAATTTGTCTAATTGGTAACCCTTCACTGTATTACAAACTGAGTGGTGTTTCCTCCAAAAGTTATTCTCTGGCTTGCAATACCAAACTAAATTCTGTATATGTGTGGTCAGCAGACCAAGTACCTGAGGCCAGCTGCCTTATAGGTGCATTAAATTCCTTAATGCCCAACCTGATCCTAAACCATCACAGAGAGTTGTGAAACATGGAGAAAAGCATTAAATTTTATTTGACTGTATCTTCTCTATTTGTGTCAATTTTCTCTATTGTTATTTTGCAAAATGTGATTGTTCAGTTCCCAATCTATCTCTTGTTCCTGAGTGGGTTTTTTTCAAAAGGTAGGGGATGAATTTTCTGCAATGCCTGTTTCTGCAACTACAATTCCTAGAATAGGACAAAGCATAGCATGAGCCAATGTTAGGATCCCCAGCCCAACCCTGAATGATCACCAGTAAAACTCACAATTCCTTTTCTAAAGATAATTCCAGCAATAACAACTTATTTCTTAGAAAACCTGAAACCCATGCATTTAAAGCACATTCATACCACTTTAACAGGCATAACTGTAGCTCATCCCTCATCACAGGGCTACAATCAAATTACAGTTCCCAGGATTCTTTGGGGGGAAACCATGTTCTTTAAAAGTATGGTTTGAGAACAAAACAATCCAGAATAAAACATTCACGCTTCAAGGAATTTTTTTTCCAGATCCTTCTCTAAGTGAAGGATATTTATTTA